CTTTTTTTTTTTTCTTTTTTTTTTTTCTAATCCTCACAGGTTCAAAAATATATGAACAGGCTCAAATATATCCATAAAAGCCAACTAATATGATTAAATGTCCCTAAGCAAGTTACAGCTTGCCCACGCACTTTCTGCTGCCAACAAAAGCTTCTGGCTTGATGCCAGTTGGATGTTCGACTGCTCCTTCTGGCAGCAGAGATAGAGTTCATTTAGACTTATTGGTTTCATGGTACAGTCCCAGCTTTTAAGCATAGTTCACAACTTTTTAACAAAGTTGACATCAGGACCAATCCAAAAGCTTGATGTTTGCTGACTTTATACAAACCAGTGTTGATGTGCGTTTTGGATCATCATACTGTTTTGAATACCCAACAGCGTCCAAGTTTCAGACATGAATGTGTCAACTTAAAAACAGTTCAACAACAACAACCCAGGAACCGCCAAATCTGAAATCTAGCAAAAAACACAGATCAGAGATAAAAACTGGTTAAGGAAGAAAAAAATCAGGTTGACATTAAGATTGTTGAATGGTAGGTCCAAAGATGTGAACATAACCCTTCAAAAAAGTTCTCTGTATTGTGTTTAAAAGCCTGGTCTATGCAAGGAAACCAATCAATTTTCTCTATTTCTTTCAAAAACTGGAATCAAACACAATCAAAATTATGCCAGAAGCTTTTTGTTCACCTCTACCAAATCACCTCTTTGAGGTGCAGTTTGCAAATATGTTTTTCCCTGTTTTTGGCAGATGTTTGAGGATTTTAATTGGGTATCTATTATTATTCTTGACAGGAGTTTTGCATTTGTATGGAACGTGCTGTTTCATAATAATGATGATAATCAAAAGAGAAGGTTCCATTACAAAGAAGCTGTTTCTTGTATTTTTTAATAAGAACCTCTACAGTTACTTAAGTGACATTCTTTGCACAAAACAGAATCCCAGAAATAAAGGTGGGGAGTGAAAGAGCATCATAACATATTCTAAAATGAGTCAAATACAGTTACAAAGCAAATTCATAACCACAGATAAATGCATTTTCCTCACTGAAAGTACTCTTAACTTGGAAATTGTGAATCCATAAGTGAAACGGATCCATTCATGGTAAAACTCTTTTACAGACTCTTTGAATGCCAACAATTTTGCAAACAGATGCTTACTACACAACAAAATGTTTTCGGCAATTAAAGATACGTTACTCAATTACTTTTTGCTTCTGTTTTGTCCTCTTTGTGATCGGTGGTGTGCTGTTCGGGGCACACCTCCTTGGTGGGATCCATCACGACAGGTGGAGGTATGTTCAGACACTTCGCCTGATCTCTGAACTCTTCAATCTCCATCTCCTCCAACTGTCTCCTCTTGCTGAACAGATAGACGTGTTGTCGCTTTCCTGACTCCACATCAAATTTCAGCAGGATGCAGTCGTGACAGGAGGTGTGGACAAAGGTCGTGGTGATATTGATGTCATCCAGGGTGAAGCTGCTGCCCTCCAAGGTGATGTTGTAGGACGCGTAGTAACAGTTGCCATCTGAACGGCCGCTGCGTCTGAAGAAGAGGCTGCTCTCGTTGCCGTTGCTGGAAAACTCAGCGGTGGCGCTGTCTCTGCTTCTCAGTAGCTCCATGAAGGTCAGGTTGCTAATGCTGCCGGCAACCATCGTCCTTCTGCCCTCTAAACCACGAAGGTGAGGCTGACCTAAAGGCTGGAGCAGATCTTCACAGGCCAGGGGAACAGAATGGCTCACAGATACCAAACTGAGGAGAAGAACAGCGGCAGCTACTGCCAACATGACCGTGTTGGATAAATTCCTCATTTCCTCAAAGCTCAGGAACAGTTTCTGACAATGGTGACCTTTTCGATTTTATACCTCAGAAACTTGCTGTTTCACAATTCTAAAAATACCAGCAAACAGAAACGGTTTACCTGCTGTGCTTTCTGTGATTATGAAATGATGAACTTTTAGCTACACAGTTAATTGTTTACACTGGAAATTTACTGGCTGCTTTTCCTCTCTGTGAGGAGGGGTCAGTGGGTGAGAGGTACGCCCCACACAGGTCAACAGTCAATCATGAAGCAGCACAAAGACACCATAGACAAGCATGAAAGCACATGGAGCTGACATAGCTGAAAACCGCAGGTTTCACCTCCTGGTGAAATTTCTAAGTGTACTATCAGAGCTCAAAGTCGAAAAGTCAAGTTATTAGTTATTAATTAAAATGTGAAACTGGAAATGCACTTTTGAAGAACAAATAACTGAAATGGGTAAACCAACACTTCACCAAATGGGGAAAATGTTGGATTTAGGCTGGGGCTTTGATTAAGAAATTTTATCATTAATATACTTCGCTATAAATTACACCCTCACACCCTTCTAGCTGTGTGCTTAATGTTGCAGTCCTGCTGGTGAGGCTGTGTCCCAGTATCAAGTCAACTGCTGCCTTCTTCAGCATTGCCCTGTGTTTAACTCCGTCCTTCATTCCAGCTCTGATCAGTTTCCATGTTCATAAAACGGGTGCAGAAATTGATCCCATGGCATGATGCTTCTTCCACCATGATTCAAAGTAATAGTTTTTAGAAATAATGTTCAGTGTTAGAGTTTGCTACTAATCAGATCTTTTGCATAAAGGTAGATTGTTGTCACATCTGATCGGAAAACATGGCTTTTGATAAACTACTAAGAATAATTTGCATAATGGGCAGACCAAATACTATTAGTTGTTCTATCAACAGATTCGTCTATTTGAACTGTGGATCTCTGCAGCTCCTCCAGGTTAACCATAAAATTCTTGGCTATCATTTGAGGTGGGCTGCCAGGCAATGGATCGGACTTGATGTTTTTAGGGGTTTCAGAGTACGGTGGACGTCCACCTACTTGGTTCAAATAGGAAGTTATAACTTTAGAGGGTGTCAAGTTTTTCAGCCACTCACGCGAGGATACAGTACAAATATCTGGCATCCACTTTAAAGGAGGCAAACCACAAACGCACACCATGCTAGCAGCTTAGCTTTTTTATTTATTAGTGTTGCCTAATAAATAACCTGTTTGTAGAGGGGTGAAAAATGAGCTCTTAGTAAATTAAAACAATAATTAAGA